GGGGGGGGGGGGGAGGGGGAGAAAGAGAGGAAGATGGAGAGGAGAAATTGCGAGAGAAAGGATGAGGGGATTAGCACATGGTTCACTTTTATATGGCTAAAACAATACACGTGACTAGCAATCATGTGTTTTCTTTAGCAACAAATTTTGCTAAAGCTTCTGTAAATAACAAGTGACTGTTAGTCCCGTGCTTAAAATCTGTATTTTATAAAATTTACCACTATTTAGCCATCCATGTTGATGTGCCTGAAAAGTGATTAATTTTGCTCATTAAATTTAAAAATGGTTTATCTAAAAATTTCTTCAAATAGTTTTATGAAAATTTTAATTTTTGTAAAAATATATTTTAAGGAAAATTTTAAAAATTTCAATTTAAAAATTATTTATTTAAAAAATGTTATTTATGAAAAAATATTATTTTATTTCTAAAAAAATATTATTTTTGAAAAAGATATTATTTTTTAAAAAATATTTTTTAGGGAAAATAGTATTTTTGAAAAGTAATATTTCAAAAGATAATATATTTAAAAATATATATTTTCAAAAAAATATTTTTTTAAAAAGCAAAATTATATTTTTTTTCAAGAAAATGATTTGTAGCAACTATAGTTACAAGTTAATAGAATTTATAATTCATTTTGGTTGCAACTTGACTTTCATCCAGTTTTGATTGCAAGTCAAAAGTTGCAACCAAGGAGCCTTGCGATTGTGGTTGTGAACAAAACAAACATTTGCAATTGGGTAAAAATGGACCTAGTTGCAAAAAATTGCAGTTGCTCCAAGTTGTAATCTACCAAACGACCCCATAGAAAAAGAGAAGGCATAATGCTATAAGTTGGTTATGCAAAGGGTGATGAGTTTTTTGGGGGTCAATGTGGTCTGTGGATTCTAGGTCTGATGGAAGAATGCAAGAAGAGTATAAAATAAGAGGTCTACTGAACTGCCAATTTTTAGAGTGTTTTCCTTTCTATATGAACTTATTTCCAAGTTTTGTAAACTTTCTGTTTACCGTATCTGATTTTCCTCTCTCTCTTGGTTGCCCCCTTCCCTAAGTATTTCATTCAACTAATTGATGTAGTTACCCTAGGCCTAATGCGAAAAAATTATTGAAAGAGTTGTTTATTGCTTATTGTTTAGTCCCAAATATGTTAGAGACAAACTGCTCTATTTTCCAAAACACTATTAATAATATCCAGCTAATAATCTCATTAGGGATTCACATTAACATGGTATCAAAACCACCCTCGCTCTCCTCTCTCCATTTTCTAAACCTTAGTTGCCACCCTCTCAAACCGTAGCTATCTCCTTCTACCCCTCTCAAACTCTACCTGTTACCCTCCTAAATCCTAGTCGCCACCTTCTACCATTGTAAACCTTTGCCGCCACCCACCACCATCAGACCCTAACCCTCTGGCGTCAGCTGCTAACCCTAATCACCACCACATCCGTCCACATACTATTCAGTGGTACTGTTCATCAATGGGGGTACTATTCCACTGATTGATGTTCATATAAGACATTGTTCACCTATAGTATTGTTCATCCACGGTATTGTTTATCTGAACCAAACCTTACTCGATCAAGCTAATTATTTGGCTTAACTAACTTTATCTTCATATATCTTAAGTTAATCATTTCGCTTAACCAACTAGGTCTTCATCATTTGGTTTAACCAACTTGATCAAGCTAATTATTTGGCTTCATCTTAACGATCAGCTGTTAACAATCTCTTTGAGATAAGTGATAAGTCGTTCTTTTCCTCGAAGAAACTAACCTTGTAGGATGATTTTACCTAGTGGATTGATTGCTTATTGTAAGGGTGTTTGCTTATTGATGATTTGATTATTAGAGATTGATTCGTTATTGGGCAAGGTTGATAGTTATTTGTTAGGAGATTACTAGTTGAAGGATCTTATTTGCTTTGTTAATGACGTCCTCCGGTGACTGCTATCGTACTCTGGCTGTGGGCATGCCAATTGGGCATGTGATGTCATTCATGAATTATTTCGAAGCAAGATGGCCAAGCAAAGTCAAGACTTTTGAGGAGCACTATGACAACTTCAATTGCTTGGCAGAGGAGCTGAGACATATTTTTGCCATTATGGGGATGTTCAGAAGATGTAGGATCAGTGGGATTAACTGATGGTATTCAGCTTTCTTGGTTCTCTTCCATAGTCTTATAGTTCAACACGACCATATGTTATTGGAAGTTCTGCAATAAGCTCATTAGCAGAGACATATTACTTCTTGAGATTAGCAATGCGGGTAGCACTAGTAAGTATTGTAGCGGAGTCTACCAATAGGTCTGCTGTCGCCAAACAAAGTAGACAGTCGACCAATTGAGGTGGTGGTCGTAGTGGTGGCCACTTGGTGGACGTGGAGGATGGTTTGGACCACGTGGGGGACGAGGTGGTAGTTTACGAGGAGTTAGGGGAGTGTACATTTGGTGCCTCTATCTATTGTCAATAGTATAAGGAGTCTGGTCACATAAAATTCCAGTGCCCTCAGCTACATGGCAAATGATAGCGGAGTGCACATGTGTCTACACAGGAGAGTTTCATAGATGATGACACACGCAGTCAGTTTGAGCAATTTTAGCTATTCCAGCAATTTAAAAAGACACAATCCTCTCCTGCTATAACTAAACTTGCCCAGTCAGGTAAACCCACTGCTTGCCTTTCATCGTTATCGTCTCGTACTTGGGTTATAGATTCAGGGGCAACTGATCATATGATTGGGAACCGAGTATTATCCTCCTACACACCTGCCATCTCCTTTTCTTCAGTAATATTGGATGATGGATCCACAACACTTGTGAAAGGTGTTAGACCTACCAGCGGTAGTACTATTCCAATTTCATCTGTGCTATATCTTCCTCATTTTCCATTTAATCTCTTATCTATTAGTAGTATTACTAAAGAATTAAACTACACGGTATTTTTTCCTACACTGTAATTTTCAGGCACTTCGGACGAGGAGGGCGATTAGCTCTGGACGAGAGTAGAACGACTTGTATGAGTTAGACTTTGCCTCGGCCTAAGTGCACATTGGACAGGATCTTATGAGGACAGATGATCAACTACTTTCTTGGAGGAAATCTAATATCATGATGGAGGAGTAAGAAACAGAGTGTAGTCTCTTGATCTATAGCTGAGTTTGAGTATCGAGCCATGGAGAATTTGACTTGCGAGCTGATATGGGCTAGAGATATATTAACAAAGATTAGTTATCCTACGGAGTGTCCATGAGCTTATATGGAGATAACAATGTCACCATTCACATAGCTGAGAATCCAGTATTTTATGAGAGGACAAAACATGTAGAGATTAATTGCCACTTGATTCGTGAGAAGACGGAGAAGGGAATCATTAGAGTGTAGCATATACCATCAGAACATCGATTTGCAGACATTCTCACAAAACCTCTTGGAAGAATACAAGTGAATTTGTTTGTAACAAGCTGGGCATGTATAATATGTATGCTCAGCTTGAGGGGGAGTGTTAAAGAGTTGTTTATTCCTTATTGTTTAGTCTCACATTAGCTAGGGACAAACTTTTTTGTTTCCTAAAACAGTATTAATAATATCTATGAGAGAGCTGATAACCTCTCTAGGGTTTCACATTAACAAAAACATTGTATGTATTTAGGGGAAGAATGATAGCTTCAGCTAATGTTACAGTGGCTGTTTGGTTAATTTCCTAGAAACCCAAAGGAAAAGAAATTGGGTGAAGTAACCTCCATAACTGGTTTGAAGCCATTTCCCTAGGGGGTAAGGACTTTGAAATGAGTTTCCAAAGTTATGGTCAAATTAATCAATGGGAGAGTGCCCTCCTCATCCTCGCTCTTGGTTTCAAGTGGGAACCAAACTTAAAAAAGGAAATTGTTATAGGAAATGGTTTCCTATAAGCCTGTTTTCTAGTTTTTTGAGATACCAAACATACAAAAGAAAACTAAAGAAATTGGAAAAGGAGACAGCGGAATATGAAGAAATAGTAAGAACAGATGGAGGTGGGATTATTTAAAAGATGACTACATTGCCTAAAAAGCATGGCGGTGACTGGTGCATAGGCGATAGGTTGCCTAGATGCCTTGGTTAGAATACTTTATGCGCTCTGGTAGAATCACATGACATGCATATTATGACAAATGAAGGACATGATTTGCAAATGAGCGAAGATGGGACAGAAGATGGACGGTGGAGGCCATTGTTACTGCTAACTGGCTTATACAAGTTCGTTAACATTATTTAATGATAGATTACAAGTTGTTGCAGACAACCTAGTAGTTGTTGCTTTACTTTTGTCATAGCAAGCCTCAGAGAGTTTGAATGCTTTGAGTGTCGTGTTGTCTGAATCAGTATGATAATATATTGTGTAAGTTGAGCATTGTGTTTTCTGTGATGTGATATGATGGAACAAAGTAAGAAATAGTTTGGTACATATTTTTTTTCTTGTTCTGATGAGGTATCATAGAGAAATTCTGAAGACTTGGGGCAAGCTGGGGAATCGGAGACTGAATTGACTAAATTTGTTTCTTATTTTACCAGTCACCTAATTATTAGTCATTCACAGAAAAGGGTATTCACTTTCAGTGCATTATGAGTCATCCTAGCTGCAAACCAAAATCTATTAACTTCCACAGGTGGTCTTGTAAAGAAGCAAAAAAGGTGTTATTAACTTTACTGTTTTGGGGTCGCAAACATTGCAAACAAAGTAGCTCAATCTTAAGGTCTGCTTATTTTATACTTCGCTTGTTTGACTTAAAACTTTTGAAGCTTTGATTCAGTCTGATTGATGGCATACTGATACTGTATACCTGATATTTTAATTTTTTAGCTTATTATAGAGCGAGAAAAAACTTCCTCTTTTTTTGATATTGCATTCTGGATTCTAGGTTATTGCAACAGTTGCATTGTTGGTTTCTGACCAAAAGAAGTTGAATGCTACTATCAGCTCAGTAGCATACCACTTAAGCACATTTACAGGTGTTTCCCGAAGATTTGAATTAGTTGGTAGTCTAAACAAATGCCATATATATGATGACTATGCTCACCATCCAACAGAAGTTCGTGCTGCCCTCCAAGCTGCTAGGCAACTATTTCCATATCAGGCATTATGGATTGTTTTCCAACCACACACTTTCAGGTATCTTACTGTTTTTCCTTTTCTTTTTGTTGATGTTGTGATAGATCAGGTTAGGGAGACCTCAAGAAACCAACAATAGTTTTTCCCCCCTACTTTTTGGTTAGTTCCTGTGCTTGTGTTTAATAGCTGTTTTAGTTTCTTCTCCCCTCTGCCTGTCTTCTTGGTCTTCAGATCAAATAAAAGGTTGCAATTTTAAATTATCCTTTTTCAGGATCACCAGCATCATTTAAACCTTTTCCATACAAAATAGGGGTTGGTAATGGAGGAAAATAATATTTTGAGATGGATTTGAGGAGTAAAAATCAAATCATATTAACCTGTCATCAGCCTTTGAGTTAACTTGTAATCTCTGGCTGAGGTAAAAAATGAGATTGCCATGTAACACCATTAAATGTCAGCTTCTTAAAAAAGGAAATCATACATTTATTAATCTCGTGCAACCTGGGAGCAAATCACAAAATTCTCGTCCTAGAATCTTATAAAATTATATCAAAGGGTGATGATGAAGAACGAACGCACCTGTTGAGAGGCGACGATGACGAACTCGCTTGTAGGCGAGCACTGGACAGGAGGAAATGGGACAGGCGACGAACTCGCCTATAAGCGCGGGCTTCGACAGGCGTGGAACTCGCCTGATGGCGAGGCATGAGGGCGACTTTGAGACGCTTGAAAGGGTCGAAGTCGCCTGTTCGAGATCGAGTAGAAAGTCGCCTGATGGAGGCGCTCGCCTGGTGGAACCGCTTCGATTTCGCCTGCGGTCCTTGCGTGGAGATCTCGCCTAGGGTGGGTAACAGCTGGCTCCAGCTGGAATAGGCCTAGGGTTTTCCTATAAAAGGGAAACCCCTTTCGCGATCTGAGATGGAGCGCGAGAGCAGAGAGAGAAGAAGAGATTGGCAGCGACATTTCTTCTTCCGTTCTCTGCAATTTGGGAATTTTCGATTTTGTTCTCATTTGTCTCTGTTCTCATTTATTATTGAGAAGGGGTTGGTGTAATTGGGGATTTATTGTAATAGAGAGAGAGAGAGTTTGAGCATTGATTTTATGTTAAAATCAATTGCTATTTGTTTGAGAGATCTCTAGTTTGAGATCTCTCTTATTTGTAATTTCTTGTTATTAATAAGAAATTAGTGTGCTGCTCCCGTGGACGTAGGCAAGATTGCCGAACCACGTAAAATATTGTGTTCTTGCTATGGTTTGGTTGCTCGTGATATATTGTGGTTTATTATTGTTCTTGTGTGTGCTATTGACTTGTCGAATCGGCTTCCGCGGCACACAACAAGTGGTATCAGAGCTTCAGGTTGGATTTGGGAGTTTTGTTCAAAGGATTCACAATTGGATTCTTGTTTGGAGAGTAGATCTACAATATGGGTGATACAATCAGGGCTAGTTCAAGTGCTACAAGTACATCGGGGTCGGCCTTGACAAAGGCGATCCAAAATTTGAGCATCAATAACACTAAAATTAATGTTCCAAAGTTCGACGACAAGATCAATTTCGGTTTGTGGAGGTATCAAGTAATGGACGCCTTAGATGCACAAAATTTGGAGGAGACTCTTGAGCTACAAGAGAAACCCGAAGATATTGATGACAGGGATTGGAAGAAAATGCACAGTAAGGTTTGTGGGGTTATTCGGTCATGCTTGACGTCGGATCTTATTTATGATGTGATGAACGAGACGTCGGCGAAGAGATTGTGGGAAACGCTCAATGAAAAATATTTGACGAAGAGCATTGAGAATCGACTTCACTTGAAGAAGAGGTTCTACCAATTCAAGATGCAGAGGGGAGTTTCCATTCGGGAGCATGTTAACAACTTAACAAAGCTAATTTCGGATATGGTCAATGTAGATATCATGGTGAAGGATGAAGACAAAACAATGTTACTATTGTGTTCGTTGCCGGATGATGAGTTTAGTACATTTGTTCTCACTATGATAAATGAACGAACTACAGTTAGCTACAATGAGGTTACCTCGACGTTGGTAAATTATGAGCTGAGGAAGAATGATAGTGAGCCATCCGAGAAGGTATGGGGTGATGTATTAGCAGTTCGTGGTCGTAGTCCAAACCGTCAAAGATTCAACCGCTTAAAATCAAAGAATAAGGGTGGCCATAAAAGTGTTGGTAGAAATCAATGTGTCTTTTGTAAAGAAGAGGGATATTGGAAGAATGAGTATCCAAAGTTGAAGGATAGAGTCGGAAAGCAAAGGGGGAAAGCTGTACAAGCTTCAGAGGTGAATGTTGCTAAAGTTGTTGGTAACATTTTAGATTCGGATTCTTCCGGTTATTCTTGTCTCACACTGCCGTCTGTTTGTTATGCCAATCCTACGGAGTGGATGTTTGATTCGGGAGCTATATTTCATATTTGCTCTAAAAAGGATTGGTTTACCAACTTTAAGGAGTTGGAGAGAGGGGACGTTGTGCTCATGAGGAATGATCACGTTTGTCCTATTAGTGGGATTGGCTCAATCCAGATCAGGATGCATGATGGGGTGACTAGGGAGTTGAAAGAAGTGAGGTTCGTGCCGCAGTTGACGAAGAACATCATTTCTCTTGAGACTTTGGAGGCAGCTGGTTATAGAGTGATCTTAGAGGATGCTACTTTGAAGGTCATGAAGGGGTCCATGGTGGTGATGCGAGGTGTCAGGAAAAACAACCTATACTACTTGAAGGACAAGACAGTTACAGGGGGTCTGACTGCTTCTATCATCACAGAGGAGGACACTACCACACTATGACACATGAGGCTTGGACATACAGGTGATAAGTTCCTACAGTCATTGGCAAAACAGGGACTATTAAAAGGTGCAAAGACCTGCAAGATGGAACTGTGTGAGTATTGTATACTTGGGAAGAAGACTAAAGTGAAGTTTGGCATCGCAATTCACAACACCCAAGGTATATTAGATTATATTCACACAGATGTTTGGGGCCCATCTAAGCACATATCGCTTGGTGGGAAAAAATATTTTATCACTTTCATTGATGATTATTCCAGGAGGAATTGAGTATATACCATGAAGCATAATCATGAGGTCCTGGATATATTTGTGGAGTGGAAGAAGAAAGTGGAGCTGCAGACAGGTAGAAAGGTGAAGACTTTTCGTTCAGACAATGGTGGAGAGTATAAGAGTGATCGACTTCTGCAGTTTTATCGGGATTACGGCATTAGAAGACACTTCACAGTTAGAGAGACACCGTAACAGAATGGGGTGACAGAGAGGCTGAACCGTACCTTGCTAGAGAAGGTACGATGTATGATGACGCAGAGTTGATTGCTTAGATCCTTTTTGGCCGATGCGTTAGTTTATGCGAACCATCTCGTTAACAGGTTGTTGTGCACTGCGATAGAGGGGAAGACTCCGATGGAATGTTGGTCTGGTTTTGTGGCTAGTGATTATGAGATTCTTCGGCTATTTGGGTGTCCAACTTATTTCCATGTTAGTGATGGGAAGTTGAATCCGAGGGTTAGGAAGGCTGTTTTTGTGGGATTTAGAGAAGGTGTCAAAGGTTTTAAATTATGGGATCCACAAGACAAGAAGATGGTCATTAGTAGAGATGTCATATTTGATGAGGCGTACATGATGAAGCCTCGAGTTCCTCAGCATGTGGAGGAAGATCAGACAGGAGAGATATCATAGCAGGTGGAGGATGATGTGACTCCACCCACTCCAGTCAGCATTGTGTCCATTGAGACTCCTACAGAGGTGACACTGGAAGGAGATGAGATGACAGTCGGGCATTTAGAGGATACAATGGATGGTGAGGCTCAGGAGCAGGGTCATGCTCAGGGGTCCATTGCAACAGATAGACCGAGGAGAGAGATTCGTCGGCCAGCTAGATATGATGATGTCATGGTGGCATATGTTTTATCTGTGGAGGTCGATGATTTCATTCCTGTCACATTCAGGGAGGCAGAGTCTAGCCTCGATTCTATTAGGTGGAGGAATGTTATGGAGGAGGAGATGCAATCTCTTCAGAAAAATGACACTTGGGAACTTGCAAAGCTACCTAAGGGTAAAAAAGCTATTGGTTGCAAGTGGGTGTATGCCAAGAAGGAGGGATCTTCTATTGGGGACATTCGATTCAAAGCCAGATTGATTGTCAAGGGATATGCACAGCTTGAGGGCATTGATTACAACGAGGTATTTTCACCCGTTGTGAAGCATTCGTCTATTCGGATTCTATAGGTATTGGTGGCGCAACTGGACTTGGATTTGGTCCAAATGGACGTGAAGATGGCCTTTCTACATGAAGACTTAGACGAGGAGATCTACATGACACAACCTATGGGATTTAAAGTTGCAGGAAGGGAAAATTTGGTATGTAAATTGAAGAAATCTCTTTATGGACTAAAGCAATCACCGCGACAGTGGTACAAGAGATTTGATAGCTTTATGATTGGCTAATGGTACACGAGGAGCCCTTATGACCCGTGTGTTTATATGCGCAAGCTACAGGATGGTGAGCACATTTATTTATTATTGTATGTTGATGATATGCTCATAGCTTCCATGAACACTTCAGCTATTGGGAAATTAAAAAAGGAGCTGTCATCTGAATTTGAGATGAAGGACCTGGGAGAGGCTAAGAAGATACTGAGTATGGAGATTGAGAGAGACAGGGTGAAGGGGATTGAAGCTTACACAGAGGAGTTACTTGCAGAAGATGCTGAAGAAGTTCAGTTTTTAGGGCAATACCAAGGTGGTGAGTACTCCATTAGCTTCTCACTTTAAGCTTTCAGCTTTGATGTCACCAGTTTCAGTGGAGGATCGGGACTACATGTCCAAAGTTCCATACGCCAGTGCAGTGGGTAGTTTGATGTATGCTATGGTGTGTACGAGGTCAGATTTATCACAGGCTGTGAGCATGGTATCTAGGTACATGCACAACCCTAGGAAGGGGCATTGGGAGGCCGTGAAGTGGATTCTACGGTATATTAAGGGTACTGTGGATGTTGAGTTGACATTTGTGAAGAATGTTGAGACAGGACAGGATTGTATTGGCTACGTGGATTCAGACTATGTCGGAGATTTTGACAAGCATCGGTCCACTACAGGTTATGTTTTTACATTGGCTGGTCCACCGGTGTGTTGGAGATGCACTCTTCAGTCCACTGAAGCGTTTTCTACTACGGAGGCGGAATATATGACGGTGACTGAAGCAGTGAAGGAGGTTTTGTGGCTACATGATTTGTTGGATGATTTGGGGATTGTACAGGAGACCATTCAGGTATATTGTGATAGCATGTCAGCTATCTATTTGGCGAAGAACCAAGTCTACCATGCACGCACGAAACATATTGATGTCAGATTTCACTTTGTACGTGACGTATTGGATGATGGTGATGTCATGTTGGAGAAAGTCCACACTAAGGACAACCAGTGTGGACAACCCTGCTGATATGTTGACCAAAGTTGTTCCAAGTGTGAAATTTGGTCATTGTTTGAATTTATTGAACATTCTTCGTTATTGAGGCTGTTGGCGGCCATTTGGAAGAACTACGATTAGCTTGATCCCGGTCAGAGGGTACGTAGGCAGCCATGGTATAATGGTGCAGCTGTTTTGGGCCTGGTTTGGCATTAGTGGGGTTCTTCTGGTGTTCGTCCGAAATTTGATGTTTTTCAAATGATGGACGAGGTGGAGAATTGAAGAACGAACGCACCTGTTGAGAGGCGACGATGACGAACTCGCTTGTAGGCAAGCGCTGGACAGGCGGAAATGGGACAGGCGACGAACTCGCCTGTAGGCGCGGGCTTCGACAGGCGTGGAACTCGCCTGATGGCGAGGCGTGAGGGCGACTTTGAGATCGCTTGAAAGGGTCGAAGTCGCATGTTCGAGATCGAGTAGAAAGTCGCATGATGGAGGCGCTCGCCTGGTGGAACCGCTTTGATTTCGCCTGCGGTCCTTGCGTGGAGATCTCGCCTAGGGTGGGTAGCAGCTGGCTCTAGCTGGAATAGGTCTAAGGTTTCCCTATAAAAGGGAAACCCCTTTCGCGATCTGAGATGGAGCGCGAGAGCAAAGAGAGAAGAAGAGATTGGCGGCTGCATTTCTTCTTCCGTTCTCTGCAATTTGGGAATTTCCGATTTTGTTCTCATTTGTCTCTGTTCTCATTTATTATTGAGAAGGGGTTGGAGAATATTAATTGGGGATTTATTGTAATAGAGAGAGAGAGAGAGAGTTTGAGCATTGATTTTATATTAAAATCAATTGCTATTTGTTTGAGAGATCTCTAGTTTGAGATCTCCTCTCTTATTTGTAATTTCTTGTTATTAATAAGAAATTAGTGTGCTGCTCCCGTGGACGTAGACAAGATTGCCGAACCACGTAAAATATTGTGTTCTTGCTGTGGTTTGGTTGCTTGTGATATATTGTGGTCTATTATTGTTCTTGTGTGTGTTATTGACTTGTCGAATCGGTTTCCTTGGCGCATAACAGATGATATATGTGCTACCAGGAACAATATTCTTCACTGAGGCACAAAATAAATTAGAATCACATGTTTTTTTTGTTGGTAGTTTTAATGATTAAATCCTAGTAATTTCGAGCTTCAATTTGTTTAATAGCCGTCTAGCTGCCTTGATGAAAGATTTCGCTACTGCCTTTGTTGATGCGGACCATTTGATAATAACTGAGGTAGATGGAGACATCCTTTGAACTCCTTATTTGTTTATTGGAGTTAACCTTTGTAATTTAAACATTTTAAATTTTTTTTCCAGGTCTATGCTTCCAGGGAGATGAATGGGTGTAGTTGTGATGGGAGAGAACTAGCATCTTCGATAAGAGGTCCATCATGCGAATATATTCCTAAAATGGTATGTATTGTTCTCTAAAAGATACGATAGTTAGTATGAAAGAGCTTCTATATCGTAAAATTGAGTCTTGAAAAGCAGCTCCAATGATTTGTATGGCATCCAGAAAAAGCTGTTTTTTGAGAAAGTCATTCGTTCTTTCATGCTTTGGCTTTAGTTTTCTTCCTGTATTTGAAGATTGTAAATTTTTTTCCGTTAAGGAGGATGTGATTGAGAAGTTGGTCTATGAGATTTCATCTGATATAAATCAAGAAATAGTTGTCCTCACACTCGGTGCAGGTAAAAGGAATCACTGTTAAAATTTTTGTTCATATAGCAATTCTTCTGTAATACAATAGATTTTGACATATAACTTTCTGCTATTGTATTTAGGTGATATAACAACTCTAGGTCCAGAATTACTCAAACGGTTGCGAGAAAAGTTGTGAAATGTCTGGGGTAATCACGGTGTGGGTTATGTACTCAGTTTTGTCCTCTTGCTATCGAGTTACTAACCACACAAAGACCTGTGAGTTCACAAGAGCTTTTCTATTTTTCTTGAGTGCCAAATTTTTTATCGTGTTTGTCTCTGCTATACCTTCTTTTTCTGGAAGAAAGAAAATAGTCTGCAGAGTGAGCTTGAATCCTTTTCTTTTCCTGTTGATGGGTATTTTTGTGTAGGCTTATGAGTAATTTTAGGGAAATGCTGTAGGCTCAGTGCTAATCCAAGTTGGTTTTTTGTTATTTGGAATCGTGCAGGACCTTACATAAACTAGGAGGCTGGACCGATTTGACAATATTTGGAGTTCCTTTTTGGTTAAAGAAAATTGTTGCAGACTTTTGGGGATACACTAATTGCAAAAGGAGTTACCCTGAGGGAAAATTGAAATGATTCCGTCTTAGAAGAAAATGCTTGCAAGTTTGCGGTACTCACTTACATCCTGAATGTACCAAGGTATCTCTTTGTATTCAGTATTTATATTGCAAGACTTTTGCTGTTATATTTTCAATGCACAGGTTGCATACTCCTCTGGAGAATGCTTAACGGCTGTTTATTGTTAACAATGATGATTTACCTTAAATAATCGGCCATCTTTTCTTTTACATTTTGTCTAACCTATTAAAAATTACTGTTTATTGTTAATAAATTTCTTTTATACCCATTGTACTCTTAACCATCTTAGCTGTAATTTCAAATGTATTTGGATGACTCTTTAAGAGATTTAGTGGGTCCATCTGAGATCGAAAGTGGAATCAGATTTTGGTCTTTTAAGTTAAGAAATTTAATTTGAACTTTTGAAAGTT